AATCAGCCATTTTATTGGCTATATATAAGATAATAAAAATTATCTTATCAGTGTAATTTTATGAATTTCAGACAGTAATCAAAAAATTAATTCGAAATTTTATAATTTGATTTTTATAGAAATAAAAAAGCGCTATTTTTTATGTGAAGTTATTATCGTAAAGCCACTAACATTCTTATTTTTTGTTTTATTTATTTTTTTACTTATTTATGAATTTTTTAATCCTTAACCAATAAAATGTTTCTTCAATTAATTCGCAAATTTGAATTTGTGCGCTTTTTTCACTTTGTAGAGAATGATTTTTCATTGATATATATATATATATACATAGAATGAATTATATATTTGAATCTGGAAAGCTAAAAAAAAAAAAATTAATTAATAACACGTAATACAATCATTAATTAATAAATTATTCACAAAAGCTTAAAGTTTTTACCCACTTATAAAATTGTTCAAAAATTTTTCATATTTATAAATACAATAAATTTTACAAGCATCATAGCTTGTAAAGCTTTAGTCTTTTACATATTTTTTTGCAATAAAATGAAACGATTACAATTTGTTCCAATTATATGATTCATTCTAAATAATTTTATCAAATATTCTACAATAATACTTGATCAACAACGGAGACACAATCATCGACATTTTTATCCATATTTTAAATATAATCACATACATCCACTACAAAAATTTAACAAAGAAACAAAGAAACTTATTAACTGGCCATTGATTGAGAATATTAGAAATTTTGTTAATGTGAAATAATAGATATTGAAAATTTAAAATTATATAAAATTTTGATATGAGATCTCGATGATAAAATTATGGATAAAATAAGTATTGATTTTTATTAATAATAATGTGCTTAACTTGGCTTAATAGATTTTGCATTACAAATACTCCAATTTAATTTTTTAACGGCCAGTTATAATACAACATTACTATATTATTTAGAGTAGAACGAAAAAGATCAAAATTGAATAAAACAAATTCTAAATAAAACACAAATTCTAATAAAATGATTTTTTTTTTTCAAATATCTGTTTACGTTCAAATTTCTCCTATTTAAAATTATTACATATGCAGAAAAAATATTAAGCTAATTAAACTAATTAAAAATAAATTAATATAATTTTTATTCATTTCAATGAATCTTAAAAAAAATTTCCTTCTATTTCGTTCTACTCTATCACATAATAAATATATTTCTATTTAATCAATATAATTCTATTTAATCAACCGTTCTTTCGCCAAATATAAAAAGAACATAGATATCTCTCTTTTTCTCTTTCTCTCTCTTTCTCTACGTGAATAATTTACCAATTCAGTCACGATAAAACAAATCCAAAGAAAATGGTATCCACAAAAAATACAGTTGTAATGAACATCTGTATAAAAACTATTTTATACAGAATCCAAGAAAGGAAATGTCTACATTGGTCAATAAGAGCGACCGCTGTCCGGCTTTCTCGGCGGTAAGAGGATCCTCCTACCTATGGAAAAGACACTGCATCATCTAAACAGCAATAAAACCAACGTCCTTCAAACCAGCTCGAAGGGTGACAGGTAAATAATTGACGCACTTCATTCTACAATTGTATTAAACTTCCTATTTTATTATCTGTGTGCTTTTTTTTTTTTTTTTCTTTTTTGAGCGGTCTGTCGTTCAATTTTCCTGGCGTTTCCTCGCGTCACTTGTAGACGCACTTTCGAATTGTATCCCTGTCCTTCGTTCCTCTTCTGCTCTCCGCGCGACATCTATCGATTTTTGTCGCAATTAACACGAGCGCTCACGTTAATCTTCGTTGAAATACTCTTCGTTCCCCCGATCCCCCTTGAAATTATCACTCACGAAATTATTTTCTTCGTTTCTCTTCGAGGAAAGATTATTATTTTGATTCCTCTTCTAAGATCACGGTTCGCGTGGTTTATCGATACAAATATTTGGCGGTAAGAATATTGGCGATATAATGGCGGCAATTCCAATTACACACGGCCACGTGTGATTTAGTTGTTGGATTGTTCGTACTCACACAACAAGCACGCGGAAGAAATCAAATCTTGTTGGGCGAAAAATTATTTTTTCTTCGCACGAGGGGAATTTTCGTGATGGTTCTTTTCTGATTTATTTTTATTCGTGCTTTATTCTTTAATGATCTTTCTCAGTTGAAAATTATTCGAACAATCAAATCTCTAATATTTTTCTTTCTTTTGTAAGTTTGTAAAATTTATATTTAAATTTTCTCTTCTTCAATTTTCTTCTCTTATTTCTTTTTGTTTTAACGATTATCCGAATAAATCTTCAACTATTTACATAAGGAAAGGATCATTTTTCTAATTATTCACGATCCTTCACGAATAAAAATTTCGTTTAAAATAAATGCATTATTTTCACCTGATTCCAATTCAAACTGTTCAAATTATTCACGATTCTTATGTTCCAATGATTCTTTCATTTCATTTTAGAGACACAATTTGTTCGAATTTTTAAAACAAATACAACTCGAATAACAAAGGAAATCCTGTTTGTTATTGTTTTGTCGTGGTAACATGTAACTTTTAATTAACGTTACAATAATTTTCGAGTATTTGTTTGTTGACTGTACCAGAGTGTACAATACGAACAATTGGTTTTTGGAAAATGTATTAAATTGTTGCATATGAAATGGCCAATATTATAAAAGTACAAAATTATTCAGAATTTGAATTCAGCTAAACGTTCCAATTAATTTATTTATAATACTTATGATACGAAAGTCGCGTGTTATGAAAATTTAAAGCTTAAACAAAAGATTTTTCATTTCTTTCTTTTTTTTATTAACGTTTTCCAAAATGTATTATATCTGTTGAATCGCATCTTCATTAATAACAAATTCATTTTCGATAAAATTACAAAACGTTCAAATTCAGCCATTTCACTTGCATCGACCTAATGTATCCTCGATTCTGCTATGAGAAAAATTTTCCAATGAAAATTCGGTGGACGACAGTTCAAAATTCTCTTAAAATCTAAATCTGAATCCTAATTCTGTAAGAGAAAAAGTCGGTAATCGTAATCATTTTAATACAAGACACAGTTGGTGAATAAACAATTCTCATCATCCCCTTTGCTTCTTTTTTTCTTCTTCTTGTTTTCATGTTCCACGTTTGTGTGATTTCAATTCCTGTGTGTCGATAAAGTATGCAACGTTTGTATATATAAAAACAGAATCCAAAAGCTGATTAACAATACAAAAATTTTCTAAGTCACGAGACACGAATCACGAGGATTATAAATACGATAGAACTTCGTTTATCACGAATTTATTCAAAGATTAAGGAATTAGCCATCTTTGCATCGATCGACGAGACATCTAGCGGCATAATAGCGATGTTATGAGATCTTCTAAAACTTAGCAAAAAGCGTAGAACTCAGTGAAATTCGATTATTATAACTCTTCGAATGATGTGACTAATCTCACAAAATTAATAATTACTATTATAATACGATGAATAAAATTAGCGATAGCAAATAGCAATTCGAATGAATAAAATTCGGATAACAAAAGTTCTATTGTATCAAAATTTGTCTGACTCGATACTGGGACTAGCTTGAAACAGTGTTTCTCAAGTTTCCCTGTCATTTTAAACGATGTACTAGTAGCTACTGTTTCCTTACTTTCTTACGATGTTTTCGAGTCTTTATGCGTTTCGTGAGTGATCATTATCGAAAAAGTAACGATTGTACAAACGGTAAAAATTGTGCGTATATATATTTGGTAGGGAAATGAAAGGGATCTTGAAGCTGATCTTTATTCGTTCAGTGATCGTTGACGATATTAATGAGCAGGTTGATCGTTATTACATGAACACTAGATCATATCAAATGTCTTAGTGAGTTGGTTAAAAAATTGAATATATAAAAGTCTAAATAAAATTAAATTTAATTTTATCTTACAGCCTACTATGTTATTATGCAAGTTTCTTAACAAGTTTCTTACACGATAATAAGTTTATAAATATATTTGTTAAAATAATTAAAAAATTCCTTTTTCAAAGATAAAAAAAATATTTAACGAAATCAATTATCTTGGAATTGTTTTATGATTAAAATTATTTTAGATAAGCAATGTTTTTTTCTTTTTTTTTTTTACTTTGAACGATATACAAAGCATATATGGGGAATCAACAGCATATTATCAAATGTTTTAAATATAATACACGTTGAGAAACATTGTTTCAAGTATCAATTGCGTTACGAATATTCAATAACTTTTGATAAATGCAACGCCACTGACAATCGGCAATTATTATAAAAAATGATCTGTGACACTAAGAGATTGACGAAGTTTTACGAATCGAGCATCGGAATCACCGGCAACAACGAGATCGACGAAAATTCGTGTGAATTCGGAAATGTAAAACAGCTATACGGGAGGAACGTGACGAAATTTTTAAAAATTGGAAACAGCAGAATTATCGAAATTTATACAATAAAGGATTAAATTTACACAAATCTGTATAAAATTGAAATTGTAAAGAGGCGGTTATCAAGAGTTAATTATCGATAAAATCCATTTCTGTAATCCAATGTTGTTCGATATATAATTGAACAACGTTGCAACAACATTGACTGAATTTGAGAAAGTTTGCAATTAGAAAGTAACGTTTCTAATGGCGAAGTAGAGAAAAATACGACAGATTGAAAAAGTTACGTTATCATTGATCTCGATTAAAATTAATCGAACGAGAGGAAAAAATTCTTTACTCAACTAAAGTAAATAATAAATATTTGAAAATAGATAAATGAAATCACTCATCGTGATTTCTGACGAATCGCGAATTTGAAGAGTATTTGCGACACGATCCACGCGATGAATTTGCGAACGACGATCGAGGTGATAACGGCGACGGTGATCGATGAATTTGTGATTTTCGACAATGTTCGTTAGGAACCGGAAACAGAAAGAGGCGAAGGACATCTCAAAGGGTCTTCGCTGCTTCGACTTCTTTGCTTCTTCGTACGGTAGGTCGGCCTTTGTCAACCGATCTTTATCCATCGATCGATCGAATACTCGAGTGCTGCCAGCCATCTGAAATTCGAACGCGACGAAATAATTGAATAATCTCTCCCCTAAATTCGTTCAAATTCGTTAACGAGCGAAATTTTTTTAATTCTTCACCCGAGTAATCCCTAACGATAAAATATTCTTTGGAACAAACAAGACAATCATCTATCTAAAATAATTTAATTTAACCCTTTTCGGTGAATCTTTTAGCTAACTTAAAATGACTTCACACGCAAATTAAAGTATAAAACTTTTATATTTTAATATTTTGTCTATCTTTACATATAAAGGAAGATAATTTATTGAACGTTAAAAATCTATGTTGTGTGATATTTTAACGATAAAGTAATTACTAAGAAACATTGTCGGTTTGTCAAGGCAAATATCACAATAAAATATCATTACAAACTTTACAATCTCAATAACATATTCTCGTTCATTATTCTTATTTTTCATCTTTTTATATTATATCTCAATTTTATCACTATTTTTCTTATCGTCAATTTTTTAATGAATAATTTCGTTATTTAAGTACGATAATAACTCATCTTGAACTAATATCCCAATAACTTATTCTCGCATTCATTGTCTATCATTTTTCACCTTCTCTTACCGCATCTCAATTTTTCACTATTTTCCTTCTCTCTATCGTCAATTTTTTACTAAATAGAAATGATCAAACTCATCTCCACTTGAACTAATTTCAATATTCCACGCTTCTAAAACTCAGAAACTTTGAAAATAATATTTCTATCGCCACGACAGTCAAATCAATATATAATCGGACTAACGTCGAATATGTATCCGCGATCTAATTTTAGATAAAAAAAATCTAACCACTCGATGGTATATTATTCCACGCTTTATAAATTTATATTTAAAAAGTTTAAGAATCTATTCGCGATATTTTAAAAAAATCAAACATAAATAAATATTCGAATTGCTGACAATCCAAGTGGTGCCTGCGTTGATGCGCAAAGAGTTAAATTATAAAAAAAAAGAAATGAAACCTAATTAAATCTAATTAAACCTAATACAAAAATCGTATTACATGAAACAAGTATAATACGACGATAATAAAAATAATCATCAAGCGGGTTACCGTTTCTTGTCCATCTCTGATTCCGTGGCGAAGATGTAACTCCTCTGCGTGGGGTCAGGTGGCTGCAATTCGAACGCGTGCTTCCTGCCACCGGAGGTGGGGGCGCTGCTGTGCACTCTGAAACCATGAAGGCAGGCGACACCGAACGCCTTCTCGGCATTCGCGTCGTCGTAGAAATACAATGCAGCGTCTTTCAATACGCAATACCGCCTCGACCAACCGGTTGGCGAGGAAGTTTTCCTGGCGTGCTCCTGCTGCTTGCTCAGATATCCAAAGCAATCTGGTCTGTGAATCGCACATGCCGCCATCTCGCGCATTCTCAACGACGCTTCCAGCCAGGTGTCAACCTGTAAAATGCGCCCACGGTGATTGAAGAGGAACATTGATTCTTGGTTATTGCAGGATCGAATCTCAAACGTGGAGATAAAACAAGTTTTATTTTCGAATGTTGTGCTCGATACTTTAAGAGCACATTGTGAAAATTTGCAAGTGTCTTTTAATAAAGGTTAGAAAAGGTTGGGAGAGGGAGACACTGGTGTTGAAAGTTTATAAGAGATTCTTGATTTTTACGATTTTCATTAATATTCTAGAATATTCGTGTTATTATGAGATTTCAACGTAACTGATTGAACTACGCGATTCTTCGCAACAATTCCAGAGCGTCTAACCTAGCCATTCAATTAAGTTCCAACAGGCAGAGTCTCGAAACTTGGAGAGTTTCAATACGAATCTCGTTTTCTTAAACTTACAAAGGATTTTGTCGTTTCATTAAATTTTTTTTTAAAATCCCGATAGTGGAGTGAGAATATTTGTACAAAATATATATCGATTGTTCAATTTGCAAAATTCGTATCAATTTTAATTTTTGTCAAATAAATTTTTTTAGATATCAAAAACTTTTTCTCACTTATGTTTATGCGTAACACAAATTTCTCCGAGCAAACGTAACGGAATAACTGAGTTTACACGCGACATTTACTTGGTCGTTTCTCTCAATGGCCTCCTTGATGACCGTCGTCCATCGAGCCGCCGCTTCTTCCGTATCCGCTGCGAGTCGAAGCGTCGGCGCGCCCTGCTTCTTGATCGCGAAACTGTGCAACCTTAGCTCGGGTGTTTGCTCCACATCGTACTTTATCAGCATCACCGCCCCCACCGGCTGTGAATCCTGCGAAAAACAACGGATCGTCGCCCGGTGAATCATTTCTCAGAGAAGAAATTTCTCTTGGTAAACAGTCGTCGCGCCGATTCGCACGAAGGAACGTGTTAAATGAGCTTTCGAGCCGTGAACGACTTTTCTTTTCCCAACTTTTGCAACTGTTCTGCTCCAGCGGAAGATGAAGCGGGTGTCCAAAGGGGATGATACCCTCGCACTGAGAAAATAACTCGAGAAAATGGGCACGTGACGACATTTATTTCCTTCGAAAAATTTATTTACGTAAATTTATGCATACATATGCATGTAGGAATTGGGAGGAATTTCGTTAAGGAGAACATAAATGATCTCTAACCGGACTCTATGCAAGCGCTTTTAAATGGTTGCCTTTCAGAAGATAGATGGAAATGGAATTAACCGATTGCTGGTAAAACAGGGTATCGTTGGCTTCAATTCTTCATTGTGAAAAGATTCGTGAAAAAATCAGTGTCCTCGAGATCTCTTTCTCTCTCTCGTTAAACGAGGGGATAATGAAAGCTAGGTCACAGGATGTACCACTCGCATGAAAAGGATAGTTAGTCGAAGCCCTGATGGCGAGTATAGGGGAGGATGATCGCGAAAGTTGTACGAGCTTTTCTAGTTGGCGACCTCGTTACATTATCAGCAATTGTAATTACATCTCACCTATTATTAAATTGCCCGAAAGTTTTAGATCGAAGTTTTCAATGCTGATTTAAACATCTCGCATCAATATTACTTAACACGTTCGTCGCCGTGTCACCCATATATGAATGACGCTTTCTTATTTTTCTTATTCTTCAAGAAAAATAAGATTTTAACCATTTGCATTTGTATTATATTATTTAAGAAGGTTATCGATCAAGTAGGAAGAGCCCTCTAGAATGTAATTATATCATACATATATTTATTAGTGTAAATATATTATAGGATAGCGATTACATGGAATGCAAAGAGTTAAAGAGGAATTTTAAAGGAAATTTAACGGAACGAGCAGTGAAATATAAATATAAAATATACTTTCACAGAATCACAGAATTTAAAATTTAAGAATAACAGAAACAGAAAAGAGGGACAAGTATGATTTGTTAGCGAATCGCTCTGCATTTTTATACAATTTTAAATCTAAAATTATATAGTAACATAGGAGAGTGTTATTACCACCGATAATGTAGAACTAAGTTGAAGTTGCCAATTAGAGGCTTATATTCACACCAAAATACTTAAAATTGACTTTAGAAACGAAGGAATAGGGAGCGAAGAAGTAGAAGTAGAGACACTGAAAAACAACTAATTCAGAATCGGTGAATTACAAAATTAATTAATAAAAACTAAGAACTGATATATATATAAATATATCCCAAATTTTATATATTAAAATATATAAAATAAAAATATTAAAACTACTTCCGACAGTAACGTTTGGGCCCCGTTTGAGCAACTCAACGAAATCATTGACCGACGAACGTGTTAATAACAATTTCTTATTAAAAGTTTTATCCCTAAACAAATATAATAAATATACTATAGATTTATTATAAATCTCAAATCTGTGTTGTATTATAAATTTTCACGAGAAATCGATAGGAATGTATCACTTTGTCGTTTCAGTGAATTGGATGTTAAAAAAATCCTCTTCTAAATACCGAATAAACATTTCACAATCCATTTATCAGTTGGAGAAAGAGAAAAGAAGAGGAAGAAGAAAAAGTACTAACCGCGTCAGTCTTGTAGTAGTAGAGGCAGTTGTCACGTCTCAAGGCGAACCATCTCCTCACCCACTTGTCCGTGCTCGAGGAGGTGGCGGATTTCCTCCACAGGTATCCGGAACAAAGCGGCGCCTCGTCGTTCCCTTCCTTGGTGCCGGGCCTGGACACCCGCGGCGCGAGCACGTTGCACGTCCTCGCCACCTCGAGCTCAAGGACGTCGGTTCCAGAGTGCGCGAGCCTCACCACCTCCGAATGGGTCGCGTCCATCACGCTTTTCCCGTTCACCGACATTATGATGTCGCCGACTTCGAGGCCCGAGCTCTCCGCGGGCGTGTCGGGCTCGATCGCGGAAACGACCACCGGTTTCGAGCCGTGGATCCGGAAACCGAACTCCCCGCCAGCCTCCCGCCTCACCACCACCCTCTTGTCGCTCTCTGCAAAGTCAAAAACTCCATCCTTTCATTTTATTTGAAAAGGGAATGAGAAAATTGATTGGTAATCAATAAATCCTTTTGGTTAAATAAATAACGATTTTAAATTTTAAACATTTCGTTATGCTGTCTAAAGCGTTTATATTTTCTTGCGATTTTTGTGTGGAACGAAATATTTTTCGATATGGGAATATTATTGTAAACGAGAGATGAAGATGAATATTCGAATTTCGATTGTTATTTGCTTCTACGTACTTTGAATGAGTTGTCTCCTTGTTGTCAATCTAATTTGAAAACGTTCTATCTTATAGTCGCAAGATCCACGATAATTAATTCTATAATGTAAATATTAATTTTATAGTACATGGTGTAGATTTAATAGATTTATACAACACTTGTCAGACATTGTGTGTAGATTTCTGGTCTAAGTATCTATCCATCCATCCATCTTATTTATCAAGCATTGAAACAATGTGCAATATTGATTGCACATGATCGATTACGAACGGAAATTTGTGAGCAGAGCAGATGGTTCCGAATAAATTATGGAAGTCGTTTCTCTTGTCAAAATGACGGAGCTGATTGTCCTTTGCAATAATTTTTGTTCCTCGAAATTATATTTAATGAAAATTAAACGGTTAGTTGAGAAATAAATGGAGAAGGGAATTTTTTATAAACGAGAAAGATTTATTTCTTAGCGATTTTTCTTCTTTCTCTAATTAAATGATTCAATTATTTAGAATGGAAGAAATTTTTTTTTTAAATTATTCTTCTAAGACAGAAAGTAACTTCTTTCTTAATAAAATTTATTATACTAGATAATTTGTTACTAGATTTGTCTAGTTGAAAAGCCTTTTTTTTTTTTTTTATTTAATAAAGTTAAACGAAAATTAAAGAAAAATTAATATTAAATTTTTAAGTGAAAATCTATAATATCGTACAGTGAAATTTTATTTATTAATTTATAAATAATTAAAACTAGCGTCAGAAATGAAGATAAAATGAAGATAGAGGGAGACAGCTTTACTTTTGTTACACTGCCACGCCACACCGCGGCGTGCCATGTTGTTTCCATCTCGCTTCCATCTAATGCAATCTTCAATCGCTTGTAAAGCTAGCGATGAATAAGCCTCAATCAACATTTTTCTATTTGTTTCAACTTCTAGAATTAAACCATTCAGAGAATGTCCCATAATTTCGTAATTTTATTTCGAATAAAATCTCACTTCTATCCTCCTCTGTACAATTCACGAAAATATAAATACACCAACAGGGACGAACGCTGTACAATCGCTAATCCAGGATTCCTTCCCTCCCCCCTCCCCCTCTTTTTTTTAATTACGATTTCTATCAGCTCTCTACATAGCCGGGCGCCAATGACCATAAGCCGAGAGAAAAGATTACAAAAGACTTTTTGTTCCTTTTAACATCCATCGTTAAAAGGTGTGTCACGAGCAAACCAGCAATCGGGCGTGGAAAGAAAAGGCATTGTCATTACCCTTACATCACTTTGGCCTCGTTTTCGAACCCTTCCAAGACGGTTATTTTTTATTCCGCGCGAGATAACCGTGGCGATTTACTTGGTTTGAACTTTCGGCTGCAATTTTGCGGGGATATTTTTTGGGGAGAACAGTGCAGTAGTGAAATAAATCATTCTCTCGGGGCTGGAAAATTTATACGAAGAGTTTTTGGCCAGGATTAAGGGTTGCTCCAATTTCTCAAACCATATTTCCACAGCTGTCCGAGCTTCATTTTCTATTCCATATTGTTGCGTATTCATCAAATGGAATTGTACATTCCTTTGTACGTTACTTTGCGCGAATAAAGCGGTTCGATAGATATTACGGTGCAATTTTAGGGATTTCATTCTAGTTATATAATTAGGATATCGCTCGTCGATCGTTTCAGTACGTGATTTTCCACTCTTGCAATAATTTTTATATCACGCAATGAATTTATTGCGATTATTATGTGTCTTTAATATTAATAGCTATTTTTCTCTCGATTCTAAAGAAACGCTTTAAATGCTTTCCCGTGTTCGCTTACTCGATATAATCCTAGATTAATGCCTGGTAATTATTTTTAAAGGCTAAGGAAGGGTGCACTTAAGGCGGCTGAACGAACACTTTCGTACTTTTATTAAACTTTTTAATGTATCAATTAAGAGTTGACAAAGTATAGGAAATAGTATGGTGATAAAATTTCTTTAGGTATATCTTGCAAAGAAATTTTCATGGTAATGTATTAAACAGAAACTTTTCTTAAAAAATTGTTCAAATGTTTAATTAATCTTTTTAAACAGTCAAATTTTCTGGAAAAATCAAGAAGAACGGATAGTGGAACGAAACTCTGTTATTCGTGGATACTTCATACCAATTTCACGAATTTTAAAGTTTTTCCATTACAAACAACGTTAACAATCTACACTATGTTTTAATAATAAAAGCTGAACCAACACTCGCAATTTCGTTTATCGAATTACTTATTTAAATTAAATAAATAAAATTTACTCGCAACAAACAAAAAATATTTCTTGCAAATAACAATGTTATCATTTATTCCACGAGAACGAATTATCGAACGAAAACAATGTCTGTTTTAAAATCGAATCAATCGATGATAAAATATCTTAAAATTGGTCGGTTGGGAGAATCAATCTTCATTGATTATCTCCACTACCTGATTACTTATTATTTCAATTCAACTTTATTTTTATTTAAGTTATAACGAATTATGAATTTATTCCATCGCTTTTCCATTTCTATCGATCCTACGTTTCTAGATGCAACACGATTGAAAAATCTTGTCAATATGCTTCGAAATTGTAAATTAGTCGTATTGTAAATTAATATTTCGATCTCTCTCTCTCTCTCTCTTTCTTCGTTTATTCGTGAAAATTGCGTGGGAATCGAATTTAAAAATTATTTATTCCTCGAATGAAATTAACACAAACTGTAAACATTACGAATTTTTCTTTTCTTTTTTTTTTTTTTACACAAATATCACACAACATTAATTAAACGAAGTCATTTCTTGCGAAAGTTTAAAATACTTGCACAAATTCATTCACACACACGCGCGCGCGCGCGAATCGATATCAAAATATATCTTTTACGATAAAATTATCCCCCGCAATATTATAATAATAACAACGTTCGTGCAATTTGCATTTATGCAAAATAACAGAGGCAACGAGTATTTGAAAACGTCACGAAACAGGAGAACAGATATTTTTGGGGGAGGGGGGAAGGGGGAAAAAAAAAACAGAAAACAATGAATGAGCATAGAATCGGAAACGTTTCAATCGTTTTCGTTTCAGAAACAGAGAAATCTTGGTAACTCCCGACGTTTGTCGTGCAAATTTGAAGAGAGAGAGAGAGTACTATGCGCTCCCCAAAGCAAGCGCACAAATAGAAAGGAATACTGGGTAAAAATAAAATGAAAGCAGGACGGTCCTACGTCGTCGTAGCTACATAAATAAATGCATTTTCAGTTCTATTTTTTTTTGTGTTCCGTTTTTTTTTTTTTAACCTTAACATTTATAAAGGGGGAAGTATTTAAATTTTTGAAATGTTAGGGGAAAGATGGCGGGCAAAAAAAAAGTAATCAGAACGAAGCTAAAATTTCAATATGATATCGTGGAAAATATTATTATTATATACAATTTCATTGTGGTTTGTTATATTTAATTATGATATAACTATGGTTTAGCGGGAATTTTAATTATTCCATTAAATTATTGCATTTTAAGTAGCAAAATATTGACGAGTGTAATAATTGTAAAAATTTATTAATTTAATAATTTTATGAATTTTATGATATTGTCGAAAAAATAAATAAAAGTTGCATTGTTGAATGAAAATGTGAATTCATTTATCACCTATAACTATATCTAATTTCACAGTCAGTAATCACAGTCAGTAAAATTTAATTGATTTTCGCAATATATATTCACCCTCATCATCGTTGCAAGCAACCGCATTCAGTGCACTGCTCGTTGCGATGCTAAAATTTGTTTAAAAATAAAATTCAATTTGAAGGATATCTCATCTCTGCAAATAACGTAAATAGAAACGATATTAAACACACGATACATCTATATTACTCCCTGTCAAGAGCAAATTTCAAACATCGTTTCTTTTCCCTTTAAGCGAAAAAAAATTCATGTTACAAATAATACATTGAAAGCAAGATACTTCGTTCAAAGAGTTCGGGAAAAAGTCATTCTGCGTGTCGTCTCATCTCTACAAAAATATTAACGATACTAAACGTAGGACATGTTACATTTTTAAAAACAAATTTCTTCTCTCTTCTCTTTTATGCAAACAACGTTTCGGTAAATATTGAATATCGAGATACATGTAAGGTAAAAATTTGGAATGAAAATCAATATTCAGAAGATATCCCATCTGTAACCGTGGTGTGTTGCACTTTCAAGAAAATAAATTTTCTTTCTTTTTTTATTTCTTAATGAGTAAATGAGAAACAAAGTTTGGTTTTGGATCAAAAATCAGTTTGCTAGACGTATCATCATCTATGAATACTTGAAGTTTAATCTATAGAGTCTAGGAACGTAGAAACTGTTAAGCTCGGTTTATAAACGAAGATGATGAAATCTATTTTAGAAGAAGGAAGCCACCCATTCGTGCCTGAAAATATTATATTTTTTTCTCATATTACGTGTTAATCGTTAAGAAAACTAATTAATCACAAATTAATACAAATAGAATAAAGATGTAAAAAAATATTATTTATGAATTTTATCAATTGTTGGAATTTTTAAAATATTAACTAAATTACACGAATTAAAAGAAATTTTTATAATGGTTAAATAACAGTTGAATAATCTAGGATTCTTTAGGACAGAAGTTTTTAACTTTTCAAAAAAAAAAAAAAAAACAACGAGCGATATGCATTATACATTTATGCATATTACAATCATTATGCTAAAAAAACACTTCGAAGCTGCAGGTTAAGACGTATAAGATTTGCATAACAATCGA